CCCTGCGCGGACAGATTGCCCATGTCGCCACAGTCCTACAGTGAAACTGTGAAAAGTCAACTAAGCGGATGTGGCTCCATCCCTTTTAACACGACTAAGAGGCGAGTGGTATATCTGCACAAAGTGGGAATAATATGACACCCATATCTACAGTAGGCCTTGAAACAAACAGGAAGGCCAATAAGAAACGTTCACGACGTCGCAAGACGACGAAAACGCTCCCCAAGAAGGCAGACGATTGTAAGGTCTGCAATTCTATTGTCGAACAAGTAGACTCTGCTTTCGAATCCAACTTTTGCAAGCAATGGGTACATTGTAGATGTGACACCGGAGTACCAAAGGTTTATTACGATTTTATGCGTAAGAACCCATGCCCATGGTTCTGGTACATTTGCCCAAGTTGCCGTCCTAATGCAGCCTCTTGTAGTTCCTCAAAAGCTACAGATGGCGTAGAGGTATCAGGAAAAAACGTGAAACGTTTTACTCCCACCAACTCAGAAAACAGCACAATTGCATGTATATCGGGGATACCAAAATCCACACCGGTTAAACTTGCAATTCCTGCCATAACTGCCCCAGACACAGAGGTTGAAGCACCAAGGGTACCTGTCGCTGGGAAAAGACCCTTACCGTCCACCAGTAAAAGTGGCCACAGCACTGCGACACATAATAATACCCAGTTGCACCAGACGAAACAAAACGGTCTTCAAGGGGATGACAAATGTGCGAGGACCGAACCTAAATCCACGGTTAGTTGATCAAACTGCGTTATCCTCTTTAATTTACCAGACTGTAGCAGTAGTCTGCTGGAAAACAGGGCCCTGTTTGATCAGGAACAGTGGTCCAACTTGTGTAGCACACTGGGTCTGGACATCCAACCAGTAAAACTGTGCATATTGTATAGGGGAACTGCTGCTCCTCAAGGCAAACCATCCCCACTGAGGGTAACACTGGGCTCTACCGAGGATGTCGGAAAAGTTTCACTGACTTCTCAAGTCCTTTCTATAGGGAGGGCCTGCAATATACGTGTTAGGCCAGACAGGCCATGGAAGGAAATACAGATGGCGAGGGAGTCGCCAGAGCTTATTCCCTCTGCCTCCATGGTTGTTCACGGCATTCCCGAACTGGGAACTGGGAACGCTTGTGAGAAGCACTGTCACGATATACAGCAATGGAGATGGTTGGCATCCCAGATGGCTCTGGAAAGTTCAGGGGCTGTCTCTATTTTTAGACTGCCTCGACCCACTCACCTTATGTCAATTAACACTCCACGTCTGTTAGCTGTTAAGTTCAGCTCCCGAGACCACTTGACTACTGCTCTCCAGAGATGGTACGAGACCAAGGACAAGGTCAGCAGACACATTCGCTGCCGCGAGAGCCGGCCTCGTATCCAAAGGAGAGAACAAAACGTTGTCATAGAACATCCCCAACCCCTAGTCACAATACAGCCTTGCAGCACGGACGATGATAGCCAGTGTCATCCAAGTGCTCCGAGTGAACTAGAAGAAAAAAACGCCAACAGGCCGGTTCCCGGGGAATCGGCCAACTAGTTCGTAGGATAACTCCCCAACCGACAGCCCACATCACGTCAACCACCCCCCAATACGGGGACGTGGTAAGACTCTCTAACAGTTGCCTGTACAGTAATGTGATGGGGCTAAGAGGCAAAATAGATGAACTTAGATACCTACAATTACAGCTGAACTCCAAAATCATAATACTGATGGAAACCTGGCTAACCCCTAGGGCGGCAGACAGCGAAGTCAGTATAAATGATATGGTCCTAGTCAGGCGAGATAGGGATCTGAAAGAAGGAGGTGGAGTCGCCATATACGTCGACAAACAGCTCAGATGTGTCCATTCAATCGACCCTCCCCTCATTGAGCTCAGTGACTCCATATGGTGCCATTTCACCGTCGGGTACTGTAAATATCTAGTGGGCAGCATTTACAGATCACCTTCACGTGGAGCAGACCACAACCAGGTACTGCTGAATACAATTTCAGCGACACGAGACATGGGTTATGATCAAATTTTCATAGCTGGAGACTTTAATGCCCCATCTCTTAACTTGATGACGGGATGTGCCCAGGACAGATTTAATCGAAATCTGCTGCATACTATCAGGGAGGCCGGACTCACTGAAAATATCAGAATGGATACTAGATGGGGCCCAGATGGGAAGTCTTCTAGACTGGATTACGTGCTCACTAGTGACCAGCTACTAGTGGAAAACGTTCAGATCACGACTCCCATAGGTAGTAGTGACCACGCGGTCATAACATTCGACATTGTCCTCCGCGAGCGTTTACAGTGGGACAATACACAGACCTATCTGTGTTATAACAAAGCCAATTACACCGAAATGCGAAGACTTTTGTCTGAAGCAAATTGGCCAAAAAATTGGACAGAGCCTACAGTAGAAGAATACTGGGGAGTGGTAAGGGAGATCATTCACCAGGCGGTCTCAGACACTGTTCCTTTAGTCACACCAAAAGCTAGGAAGCGATGTTCATGGCTAAAAAGAGGGAACCCAACGCCTTCCACAGGCGAAGCGAAAAGCCTGGTTTGCGTGGGGAGTATCGAAGAGTCAACCCGAACATGAAGTGTACCTCGAACTCAGGAATCGATGTAACATACGAGTCCGGAGTGAGAGAAGGACATTTCAGAGAAACCTCGCCAATAAGCTTCTCGTGAACCCCAAAAGCCTATACAAGTTTATGTCTGAAAGAAAACCAACCAACCAGGGAGCTTGCAATATAGTGGGTTCTGATGGGAAATCTCTTACTAGTCTTGAAATGGCAAAGACATTCAGTCTAGCCTTTCACAGGCAACTGAACAGTAACGAGGATTTTACCCCCACAAAACATCAAGATTACAATGCAAGACCAACGTGCGAAAACCTGCTGGGTACATTTCAAATTACCCAGGCTATGGTACTCGTAAAATTGGGAAAGTTGGCTTCGGGAAAGTCTGCAGGTTGCGATGACATAAGACCATCCGTCCTGAAGCAGTGTTCAGAAAGTCTCTGCCAACCCCTAAGTGATCTGTTTCAACACCCTTTGATGTAGGGAAACTTCCATGTGAATGGAAACGAGCCATCCTATCCCCTATCTTCAAGGGTGGTGACCGGCAGAACGCGACCAGTTACAGACCAGTTGCGCTACTCCCAGTGATATCGAAGATATTGGAAAGTCTCATTGACGACCACATGAGAAAATACTTCGACGGGACTAACCTACTCCATGAAGCACAGCATGGTTTCAGGAAGGGAAGATCCTGTGTGACGAATCTTCTACTAGTTTGGAACGATTGGACACTATCCTGGGATGTAAAGGTACCAGTCCATGTGATCTTTCTCGGCTTTGCGAAAGCATTCGACACAGTTCACCATGGTCTGCTCCTTCACAAAATAAGCAAAGCGGGTGTTTCTGGGGCACTTCTCGCATGGCTGGAAGATTATTTAGGCGAGAGAGAATTCTGCACCAAGGTCAACCGCATCCGATCATCCTGGCACACCTCGGCATCAGGAGTTCCTCAGGGTTCTATCTTAGGGCCGTTGATGTTTTTGATTTTTATCAACGACCCGCCCTATCAACTGAACTGCTCTGCACTTCTTTACGCTGACGACGTAAAGATTTGGAGGGCAATAAACTCATCGGAAAACTCCGACAGATTGCAGGCTAACCTGCAAACTCTGGGAGACTGGGCTCTGGCTAACGGAATGCCTTTCAACCTAAAGAAGTGAAAAGTAGTGCAACTTCATTCCGGTAGGTCACAGAGTGTAAATTGCACTTTTGGTGGCCAGAACTTGAGTTGTGTGCCATCAGAACGCGACCTAGGTCTTATTTTAACAGAAAAGCTAGACACCAGTGTAAATTACACGAGGGACGTCGCCAAAGCTTATGCAACTTTACACTTTATGCATAGGCAGCTGGGAGCTCTTACTTCCGAACTATTCTTAAGGTTGTATACGACATACGTGAGGACACTCCTTGAGGTGCATAATATCATTGCTCTTCCGCTACTCAAAAGGGATGCTAACATTCTAGAAAGTGTCCAGAGACGAGCGACAAAATGGGTGATCGGCCTCCGCAACAAATCATATGGGGAAAGACTGAAGAAATTAAGCGTTTCACACTTAGTTACCGTAGTCACAGGGGAGACCTCATCACCGTCTATAAGATCTTAAATGACCAGGCCCACCCTAATAAAAGCATCCTGTCATCAAGTGATTATAGGCTTCCAAGAGGTAACCCGCTAAGGATAGCACTCCAGAGACCAAAGACTCGAGTGCGTTCACATTTCTTCTCGCTTCGAGTTTGCCGTCTCTGGAACGCCTTACCGGCGGCCGTGACTACAGCGCCATCTGTGGAGACTTTTAGGCGGAAGCTGGACAATCATGCAGAAATGCATGGTTTGTGTCTCAATGGCTTACCCTCTTAAAATTTGAAACCACATTGTCAATGGATAAGCATACAAGCTAAATCCCCACGACCGGTTCTGTCTTCTCCCACTGTACCGACTACTCTATCTTTTCTTTCTTTCTTTATAATTTCACCTTTATTATTTCACTTATCTCAACCTATATTATCTACACTACAACCTATTATTATCATTATTATTATTGTTATTATTACTATTCTGCTTTTATGACTATGCCGAATGACCAACGGGTGTAAGGTCAAACTCCATTCACGGCAGCAGCTGAGTCCTAACATACTGCACACTACAAATCACAATCTTGACCAATCCTCGCACCACTCCTCTTGGAGTCTACCAGAGCTAAAGCAGTCGAGTGGCGGGATTTACTACGCATAAGTTCACCAAAGATCTGGAACCTCTACCTTACAATCAAGAAGCCAGCTCAAAGAAATCACTGGTTTATACTAGCTCGTAATCAGGATATTGGATATTGGAGTTACTTAAGGTCATTTGTGCGTTTGTAGGTCGTTTCGTTTTGGGTTCCTATTGTTTAGAGTTGCCGCTGAATTGATGTGATGGTTAGCATATTTCGTTTTTTTGCAAACAGTAATTAGCTGGCTTTGTGTTATAACTGTTAACGTACTTTTCGACCATTATTATCTCATGTGATACAATTGTCGGTCAACCTGGTGATATAAAACGGCTCTGTTTTGAAAAGTATGTCGCAAGCTTACCATAATGCTGAATTTAATCTCACTAATTCTGAAATATTTCAAACGTTCTATAGTGAGTAAATTCTGAATCTGTTCTGAAATGGATTCTTTAATGGCACAGACTAGAACTCACTGCTGGTTTTCTGCATGACTGGCACTAATTCAGCACCGTGTTCTTTTTCTAGGCATTTTCAAGAGTAGATCAGAACCTGCTGGGTTTGCTTACCAGCGTTGTTGCAGCCCTCACAGGACATTTTAAAAATTACTCGCGTTACTTCGGAACGAAAAGACTTAATCCAGCACTCAGCTCTTTTTTTTAACACGACCAGAGATATTTCAGAACATAGTGGGTAGATAAAATTCGCATTTACCATAAAAAGACATTATCAAAGAATAGGTTAGAATAAGTTTAGAATTGTTGTAAACTTTGGTGCGTCCCATGGCTAGTACTTGATACGATACATTTGAGTATGAAGGTGACGAAAATATAATAGGCCGATTCAGTTTGTTGAATAACAGCATGTTTTGGTGGTATAATGCACAAAATACAATTAGGACTAATGTAAATAAATGTGACATATCAACTCACACCACGTTTCTCAGTATATCCTGTCGAGCAGGCATCGACGCTATGTGCATCCTTTGAGCTGCTTAATAAGTTGAAACCATTTCCAATAAAATTGACCGTAACATTTATTCTGCTCGAGTACACTTCTCTTCCGAGAATATTCTTGAGTAATTTGATTGTTTGACTTTGTGTTACCCTATCAGTACGTAGAGGCTAGAAAAGCTACTGATTAAGTTTATGCCAGTGGACACCAGTTTTGGTAGTATGACGGATGGATGGCACCGTCCGAAGTATCAATACATCGGATCTTCACACAGATGCTGTTTTTGAGGAGACTGTCATCATATCTTGAAATTTAGCAGAAAGAGGGTTAGTGTTGCGTGACAGCAGACCTCAGGGGACAACTGCTTGAGTCTGGTCACACACCGCTTGTATAAACTGGTTTGTGGGATTGGTTCCGTATTGGTAAAATTACCGCCTTTTACGGACCACCGTAGGGTGAGTCGGGATGTACAATTGTTGGGGTCGACGTTTTCTAACCCCCTCTCCAGAGTGGAGAGACAGCATAGCTGGCATTCTGGTCATCTGAGGGAAACACCTCACTGCTGTTACATCTCTGTTCCCCAGCAGTACGACTTCGCCCACAGATCCCGAGCATTGTATAGAAAAAGAATTCTTACACAATACCGGTAACTGCTCTTAGTCTAGTCGCTATCCTAACAACCTTCCTGACATTTAACAACCGCGTTTAAATGAGATGTTTATATTTCCCGAAATCAGAGTTGTAAGTGGTATTTCATGTCGAATCAATCTTTATGTGTTTAAGGGCGATCGAAGTGCTGTCATCACAAAGATGAAAGGTGTAGATAGTGAGTTTAGAAGACATTTGAAGGCATTGCTGAGGTTAACGGTTGGTACTACAATTTCATGCTACTGAAAATATTCTGTTGTGAAGTGAAGTACTTTGCAGGGCTGGTATGTTCACTGATTCGGAAGTGATTAAAGTGTGTCTGTGACATCTCATAGGGACAAAACTGAGTTTGTTAGAGACTACTAAAAGTTGTAACAACTGGTTACCAGGCGTGTTTATTGCATTTAATCCGGGGTTTGTTTGCAGTCATGGAAATAGCTTTCAGTCAAGAAATGGAGACGTAGAAGTGGGAAATTTATTTGAGGTCACCTCACTGTGTTGCCGTGATTGGCTTAAAGTTGAAGTTTAGTAATGTTTCGCGTTAATTTTTATACTTACTAAATACGTGTTAACAATCCGTGATTTGATGACCGTCATTTTAGGGTGCGGTAGCGACCAAGTGCATAGTTCTTGTGGCTCGGGAGAAATCCATGCCTTTTATTTGAATTAGGGTCATTACCTGAATTATTTACAAGGAAATTGAATTGTCTGTATAATCACTTTGCAACATGTGGAAGTATTGATGTGCATTATTATTGTTTTGGATGATTATACTTGATGAACTGATCAGTGATATGAATGGGGAGGGAAAAGTGAACGTAGTTTAATAGTCATGAGTAAGTGGATAATTGTGCCAAATTTCATTGAAGATTATTTATTTTTATTTTTTTAAATTATTTCTGATTACAGCTTGATGCCACACCGTATTTTCAGTACAAGTATGGCATTTTCAGCATGGATATCGGTAGCCCAAATTTCGCAGGCCGACCATAGATATCGGGTGTGCATCGGCAGGGGATCGAACCCCGGACTATGTTCATGGTCGGCGAGAGTCCTAACCCCAATGCCACCGACGCACGTTAGGAAATGGTGAATGTGCGAATTTTCTGTGGTATTATTATTATTGTTACTAGTTCTTCGGGTTGCGATCGTGACACAGGGCTCAGCTGTCATCTTCAGATGGCTCCACTACTGTCGCACAAGATCAGTTGTCATCCTTAACCTGCTGAAGTGTATTCCTCGTGCGAGCAATAATTTAGTCGTTCGTTATTTGTTTCTCCACCATCACTTAGAAGTTAGGTGAACTACTGATACAGTTGGTAGTGAATCGATTTTGAACCACCACACTGCAACTTCAAAGTATTGTTGAGTCTACGCGGGATTACTGAACCTAGAATTTTGTATTCTGTGAGTCAAACTGACACCGCCTATAATTTTCTGAAGGGTAGTAGTCCTACTTCTAAACTGTGACAATCAGTGATCTGCATCACTTCACCGTAAGGCAGAATCGTCTGCATACCTGAGGTCATAAAGTCTTTTAGGCAGAGCCCCTACATTATCTCGCACACCCTTCAAAGCTGTTACTGATAGCAAAGTCAAAGAGAAGTGGTAAGATTGGGTAACCTTACTGTTGGCGAAGAACAGCGGTAATTGATGGTTTTATGCCGTCACTGTACCTGGGATTTTTCTGTATAGCTTTACAAGGCGTGGCTGTGGGCCAGTTAGAATTCTCTTTACAGCACTCTTTCCAAAGTTCAAGCTGTTTCTCCTGAGAAGTAACTGAATTACCGTCTTCAAAACTCGTTTCATCAACCATAGGTTGTTCACAAACTGTTTCATCAATGAGTCTAAATAGTTATCCTGTGTTGCCTACTACCAATGTCTTTTCCATCTCTTGCTTTTGTTACCCAATACTGTGTTCATTGTGAAGATTCTGTAACTTTTTCCAGCTGATTGGGTATTATGCCATGCGTTGTCAGAATCGGCATTACTATCAATCTAAGATAGGCGTCTAATTATTTTTACCCTAAGTAAGGACTTTGTGTTCAAGTCAGGTTGAGTGCGTAAGGGTTTCTCAGCTATCTGATTCATGTCTGTTTGGTCGCAGGCATATACGTGCACTAAGGTATGATTGGGGTCCACGCAGGTGTTCCAGATGGAGTAATAATCTTCTAATGGTCCTCTTCATCGATAGCTTTTATCTACGTGATCTATTTGTGTCCTTCGTTGATTCGATGAGAGAGGTTGCCAGGTCAGTCAATGTTTCCTGTTATGTTTGAAGTTAGTGCTGATGAAGAACCGTTAATTGTCCTAACAAAACTGTAGAAGACGATCACCGTTATCGGTTCGTTGACATGAGACACCGTGGGTGACACCAATATACTTTTCTGATTGATACAACTTTCCAAACTGAACATTGAGATTACGTGCTAAAATGACTATGTTGTCGTTTGGATTGTATGTGCAGACCAGACAGCTTAAGGTAGGAATCATCCTTTGCTTCATCCTCACTGTAGCCATTTTATACATAAGCTGAAACTACAAAAGGATATCGGCAGGTATTTAAAAACTCTTCTTGTTGCGGATCTGTTCAGCTGACAACATGCATACGACTATCCATTAGAATTCAATCAAGTAGTGACTTCTCTGCCCCAGTGCTCAATGCTATTCCCACACCAGCAAGACCCTGCGAACTGGCTGGTGAATTTTCTGACATTCTTAGGTTGATTCTTGGTGCTGGCTGGCTGATTTTAAGTGAGTAATCACATACTCAGCGTGCGTGTCTCCGAAATCCGTGGCCCCAGATGCCAGGGTATTGGCTAGTAACGCCTGTTGTTGCATTTGGCATAAGATCCTGACATCTAAATTTTCAATATGAGGTTTGCAGTGTCTTATTAGTAATAATAATAATACCTTAATTCCAAAAAGTATTTTGGTACAAACATTAAATTTCCAGCTTGTAGCACAGTATCGCACCTAATTATCTCATTACAATGGTAATAATTAAAACAGGGCATTTGCATTAATCATATTGTTCAATATGAAAACAAAAGTACATTGAGTGAAAATATTAACAACAATATAGTAATGAAAGAAAGAAAAATGACGGTCGTTATACTAAGTGTTGCTCAGTAAGTTGGTAGTGTCCTGCCTTACACTTTTCTCATCACATAAAATATGTGCCAAATAAGGTGTCGTGGATTTTTTGTGCTTAGTCGTCGAAGCATATGGACTTCTATAGTTGCAAAGAGAAATTTGTGTATGGAGAGGATGCTCAGGGTCTGACAGGATAATATTCACTTATTTCTTGCATGTGTCTGTCTACAACTATTAGCGACACCCACTCTCACTACTGACAGCTTTTAGTGCCCGTCACAGTGTAACGAAGTCTTTCTTAAGTAGTTCAGGGAAGATTAAGAGGTAGCAATAAAAAAGAATAAAATTAACAAATTGTAGAAGTAGAGAGTGAGTGATACCGGATTGTCTAACGTAGAACGTTAGACGAAATATCCTTTTAGACACTAACATGATGTGTGAAGATCAGGAAAGAACAGAAGAAGTGCACAGTCCAAGGTGCTTAACATTTGATTTAGTCTCAACTTCTTTGTCACCTACGATAATGAAACTATGAAAACTAGTCAGTTGCTTCAGGTCGCGGTTGTGTCTGAAGGTAGAATTAACAACCTGACATTTGGAGGGATTAAGCTTAAGACCATATGAAAATGACAACTTACTGATTTCGGATGGAAATTTATTTATTTTGAAACAATCTGACTTAAAAGTAACGGACATAAAAACAATCAGATTATCGGCATACTTAACACAATTTAAGAGACTGGCAACGGGTTTTCCAACTCAGATCTCTACTAATGACAATATAGTTATGTGGATGCGAAGTACCTGAATGTGGAATAGTTTTAACAGTAGGAGAGAAAGATGAAGCTAGGTGATGCGAGTGAAAGCTTAGTGTGCATCAGGAGGGTGTTCGTGGTCATTCGATATTGACTGCTCACATCACAGGAGTGGATTTCCTGAAATCAGTGAAAATAAAGAATATTAGCGTTACGTGTGCCCAGAGGCTAAAAGCCAACTGACTGTGGTGGGCCACACATCTCCCGCTTGCAGTTCTCTGTGGTTTCGTGACCTGACCCAGGAACAAACAGCCTCTTAATTACAAAATAACTTGAAACAGTCGGTAGTTGTTAATAGTCCATCACTTCGGAACTCTGTACCGACCACGTGCAACGCTTTTAAACACAACAAAAGCCACATCTTTTATTTGAGTATAGCTCAGCATCGGACTGACATTTCAACGGAATTGTGATTGAGATATTGTATCAATAACAAACTATGTGAAGTTGGGCATTCTAGGGATGGAACATCGGATAGTAAAATCACTTAGTTTTGAAGATGTTAACATCTTTTGTCAATCATTGGAGTTTGCGTAATCTCTGCAGAAGTATTCACATCATCCCAACTAGGTGAATTTTGTGTATTAATTTTGTAATTTGAATGCTGAGTTAAATAATCATGTTTTATACGTATTCAGGCTGCCGCACACGTCAAGCTGATTGAAAGTGGAGTCAGGATCTTTGTTGCTGCCTTCACAATCGTCAAGGTTACTAAACTGGGGGTTAATGCCTGTCGTTCCAATCCTTCTAATGCTACAAATTCAAATACACAACCGAAGGCAAGTAAAATATGTATACTACCACTGATCTCATCCTGTTTTTACGTGCGTCTTTCACATAGTCTGTCGATTTTGATTGCCATTTATGGTATTTAGCAGATCACAAAATATGATCTGAATAATTTTAGTTTTCAAAAGAAACTCGTGAAGTTTCACACCGGAGAGTGTAAATATCAAATGGAGAATTAGGTTCGCTTTCTTGTTAACCTACTAGTGCCTAGAGGCTAAGAAAGCTACTGATCAAGTTTATGCCAGTGGACACCAATTTTGGTAGTGTAACAGATGGATCGTACCGTCCGAAGTATCAATACATCGGATCTTCACACAGATGCTGTTTTTGATAAGACTGTCATAGTATCTTGACACTTAACAAGTGCATTTATATTAGATGTTCATATTTCCCTGAATTAGAGTTGTAAGTAGTATTTCATGTCGAGTCAATCTTGATATGTTTAAGGGCGATCAAAGTGCTGTCATCACAAAGGTGAAAGGTGTAGATAGTAAGTTTAGAAGACATTTGAAGGCATCGCCGAGGTTAACGGTTGGTACTACAATTTCATGCTACTGAAAATATTCTGTTGTGAAGTGAAGTACTTTGCAGGGCTGGTATGTTCACTGATTCGGAAGTGATTAAAGTGTGTCTGTGACATCTCATAGGAACAAAACTGAGTTTGTTAGAGACTACTAAAAGTTGTAACAACTGGTTACTAGGCGTGTTTATTGCATTTAATCCGGGGTTTGTTTGCAGTCATGGAAATAGCTTTCAGTCAAGAAATGGAGACGTAGAAGTGGGAAATTTATTTGAGGTCACCTCACTGTGTTGCCGTGATTGGCTTAAAGTTGAAGTTTAGTGATGTTTCCGCGTTAAGATGTATATTGACTAAGTAGATATGTTGGCGGTGATATGTAGATCAAATGGATTATATTGACGCCTCGGCTACTAGCTTTTTGAATGCTTTCACCAGTTGGCTTTATTTATTCGCTCCGATTTCATTGAAGAAGTTAATTTTTCATGTTTTTCTCTGCTCTAAAGTTTCTGTAGCAATCAAATTGACTCTCCGTTTGTGGGGACGCTAGAGTCATGTTTCCCACTTCTTCCGGTCTTCGGACCAACTGGGGAACTAGTATACCAGTTAATTAAGTGACAGGTTCTGAATGAAGTTTGGTTTTAAGAAATGAGATTTCAAGAATGAAATAACTGTTTCAAAGGCGATAACATTGTTTTGAGTAATCGCCAAATTTTTCATTGTCTTCTGTAAAGGACATTCACATCACTCTGCTTACATAAACATAGTCGTAATATTGTAATTAGATTGGTGCATTGCGTCATTTTATTTTCTGCGCGTGTTTAGGCCGAGAATTTGGTCAATGAGGCTGCGTTTGGTATTCATGTCCTAGGCCGTGCTTTCTCGAAAGCTGCTCATCTAGAAATTGCGTTGCGTGAAATTGCAGCTCTTCTTAACCCATTCACCAGTAAAATCTCTGATAAGCAAGCAGAGTCAAAGGTAAGTGAAAAGTGTTTATTACTTCATATCTCATGTAATTTTCGTATGTATCTTTCATAATGTCCGTTGGTCTGTTTACAAAATTTTACATGACGATGATGAAAGACGTAAATTTCAAACTTTATTTCATGTACCTGGATGGCTGCATGAGTTCGAGTAGTGTGAGTACCTTGATCAGTGCAATGTATTTCCTCGGCATTCCGTTTACAGCGAAGCATCGCCAGAGAACCTCTCGGTCGACAGAATCAGATGCGGCCTATAGGTCAAGAAATATAACGATTGTTGGATGCCGGTAAGTATGCCTATTTTCCAGAATCTGTCGAAGAGTGAAGATATGATCAATACACCCTCTTCCTGGTCCAGAGCCTGCCTTGTTCTCTCGCGTTTGTTCCTCCCGTGGACCGCTTAGCCTACGCAATATTATCGAGCGTGGAACTTTAGATACTACATTGGTCAAGCTAGTCCCCCTGTGATTATCACAGGTAGACTTGTCTCCCTTCTTGTGTATCGGGATAACCAATTACTTAAACCAACCCGACGGGACTTCCTCTGATTCCCAGAAGCTTCCTAGTGCGACAGTTAACATAGACTTAAATACCTCTGGAGTCATTCCATCAGGCCTTGCTGTTTTGCCTCTTTTTCGACTAGTGACAGCCTTAGTAACCTCAGTTAGGGACGGAGGACCTGTGTCTATATCCCATTCAGGGAGGTGTTGGATGTTCGATAAGTTGATCGTGGCTGTAGGCCAATTGAATTGCTCCTCAAGGTGTTCCTTTCAGCGTATCCAGTCGTCTATCCGGCAAGCTAATTATGGTGCCATTTTTCTCCGAGATTGTTTCACTTATCATTTGCCTTTTCCCACCTGTTTCCTTGATAAGTCTAAAAAGTTGTTTGGTGTTACCGATCGCCGATGCCTTTTCCATCTCCTTTGCTTTTGTCGCCCATCACTGTTCACGGCCGTTACGAAGACATCTTGTTAGTTTGCTTTTGAGTAGCTTTCGCTCCTCATCATAATCGGAGCTCGCGGGAATCAGTCTTCTTGAGTCAATCAGTTCGGATGAGGCGGTAGAAATCCAATGGCTCTTTATAACTTTTGGTTTTAGGTTATTAGCAGCTTTTACAGCTGTGTCTACAGCTATGTTGTGCCAGGCTACCTCAGGAGAAGTCCTGCTGTCGGCCTCAGATACATGTTTCGCTATTTCTTCGTTAAATAGGGACTCATTGTCTCGATCTAGTTGGGGACGTAACTGTTTCGCTGCCGTCAACTTCTTATGTCCTTTTAGTCTACGCACGTGTTCCAGAAGGAGCGACAGTCTCCTACTGACCCTCGTCAACGATACCCTATGGCTATGTGGTCTATCTGAGTCCAGCGTTAATTTGGTGATGAAGGTCGCCAGGTTACACATTGTCTCTCTTTGTGCCTAAAGTTAGTGCTGACCAGGAACAGATGATTATCTGAGCGGAACTGTAGAAGACGATCAGCGTTGTCGGTTCGTCGGAAGGGAACTCCGTAGGTACCACCTTCATACTTCTCAGTCTGGCACAGCTTCCCTCCTCGGTCATTGAAGTCGCCTGCCAAAACAACTATATCTGAACGTTTTGCTTTTTGAAGCCAATTAGACAGTTTCAGGTAGAAGTCATCCTTTAGTTCATCCGAAATGCAGTCTGTTGGGGCGTAAGAGGAGACTACGAAAAGACAACGATGGGTAACGCCGTCTTTCCTTCTTCTATCGAACCCGTTCAGACGGACAGCACACATACGACTGTCTACTGGGATCCAGTCAAGAAGTGATTTTTCTGCCCTAGCACTCAGTGCTATCCCTACACTTGCAAGTCCTCGTGAGCTACCTGGGGGTCTCGTGACACCCTTGAAGTGATTTTTTAGGTTCACCTTGTTGGCTCGGTTAGGTTAAGTGAATGACTATGCTCGGGTCTTGTATGCGTGTCTCCGAAACACAAAATACATCCGTGGCTCAAGATGTCAGAGTTCTTGCTAGTGATACCTGTTGTCCGATTTGACAGAGGGTCTTGACTTTAAATGCTCCTATATGAAGTTGGCGACGTGGCTTTAAAAGGTTGTCAAGGGTGTTTCTATGGCTCTCATCGTTGTTTGTGGTCGCAGAGTGAAGTGAAGATAACTCACTAGCCTGAAGAATAGTACTACATGTAGTAGATGATGAAGTTGATGTGGGCAAAGGAGAATGATACTCAGGAAGGCTTCGTGTGCTTTTTGAAGTGTGTGAGTGGCTGTTACTTCCCGGCTGTCCACACCGTGGAAGTTGATTGAGTCTTCGGGTACCTAAAACAGAAAGAGGGTTAGTGTTGCGTGACCACACAGCCCAGGGAATAACTGCTTGAGGCCGGTCACACACCGCCTGTATGAACTGGTTTGTGGGATTGGTTCCGTATTGGTAAACTTACCGCCTTTTACGGATCATCGTAGGGTAAGTCGGGATGTACAATTGTTGGGGTCGACGTTTTCTAACCCCCTCTAAATATCTATTAGAATGCGTTGGCGTTTTATAAATGCCAGTGTGCAGTTTTCCTTCTTCTATTCGTTTTACTTTACAACTTAACTTACCTAATCCTCCTTGTTCACTTTCTGATTCAAATGTGAATTTTATTCCCTTTACTACTGGGTTAGTGTGTGTGAAGAACCTGGAGATATGTTCTGCTTTTAACACTGTGAAAGTGTCATCCGCATATTCGCACCATATCTTTGGAGTAGGATTAAGTGTATTACTGCCAATCAAATCGAGAGATGAGAAACAATGGAATTATATAAACGAAGTTGGAGAGTTGTGTGAGTACCTTGATATGATTATGAGCAGCAATAAATTGTGCTGGAAACGTCATCAGTAAATATTCCTGTGTATAACACTGTGAGACTTTATCATATAAGCTTTTCACAGACTTTTATTATCTGTTGCTCTAAGGAATGAATTTCTTTGTGGTAATGCGACTTGATCATAGATGTGATGAAGTAGGTATCATCGATATGTTGTCCCTCCGTATTTCTGGTTGTCAGCGGAATTTGTATAGGTAATCTAAGTTCGTTGTATATTTCACCGTTGGTGAGTTTCTTTTCTTATAATTTCCTAAGCTATGTTTATTATTTTATACAAGTTTTTCCCTTGGTGAACTTGAAGAAATGAAGAACAACAAATTGAGTAGGATAACATGAAATCATTTTATTGCAGTGTTGCTGCAATAGTTATATACAATTTTAATAACAAAACTGATAATCTAGTTATTAGTCATAGAGGTTATGGATGTTAATATCACATGATGAAATGGCATAATGGAAAGGAGGAATAAGAGTTGTCATTAAGCATGGTATCATATACACAAATAATTAGAAAAGTATTCTACAAGTGAATGTTGTCTGTTGAATATATGCATGAAATGGACAATAATTTAGTGGAAAAAAGTCGAAGAACAGTCCGGTGAAGAGTATGTATATATGAAGCTAAAATTAAGGGTATGAAATTATAAAATGCAAGTAGAACAACAACAGAACTAGCGATAAAGTAACAAAAGTAAAATAATCCCAAATTTATTCAACGTGGTAAAGTGAGATAAACAACAGTCCTTTTCGAATGCGTAAGTTCGGTTTCAAGCGTTTAATGGCAACTGCTTCGGCGATATGTAGTAAACTTAAACTGCCCTGAACTTTTATTATCTGAAATGATCTTAATACATCAATTTTATGACCACTATCTATCAGTTGATTACCGATCGTACTGCGTAGCATTTCTACACGTTTCAGTCTCAAGTTTCTTCGAATATAACCAGTTATTCGGTCAGAAATCGTTCCTTCTTTTCGTCCGATGTTTATGCTTTCGCATGTACATATAAATTGGTATATGCAGTTGGAGGTAACATTTGTTTGGTAAATTGTAACTAACCTGGCAGCTGGATAATTTCGTTTGAGATCGACATTTATTGTATAGTTAATCCTTCCAGGTACTTACTTCATCCCCTCTTAATCGATGCTCTTGGATGATTGGTTTTCTTCTCAACTGTATCGAATATTGCTTTTATATTTGGTTGTCTCTCATGTGTTTATGGACAAATTTCTGAGGATATCCATTGTACCGTTATTACTTCTTGATATTGGCGAGTTTGTTATTAAGTCTTTCATTTTAACAAAGTTTTCAGTGCGGTAAAACAATGCCCTTACCAGGCCTTTGTTGTATCTTAATAGAAAGAACTAGTGAAATTCAGACATAGTCCATTGCAGCGTTTTTCGCGATTAATATACCTCTATATATTTCCATCTGCAGTATAAAGAAGTCTGAGATTCTATGAATTCTGTGTTCATTTGTGCCTTGTTAATTTGGTCGCGTAGATAGATGACATGTATGTTCAGTGTTATTACATATGATAAATGTGCTGTCAACGCACCTCTTGCAAAATATCACTTCGTCTACTGCGTGTTTCAAACCTTTCTGTTCAATTTATTTCATAAGAATATCCTCTGGAAAGTGATCTAATGTCCATTGCAACTCCTTCAATCTAGCGGTACATGACATTGTTGAATTTGCACAGCACACAAATACGCGTATGAATTCCCCGTCGGTTAGAGGAACTTATTCGGCATGTTGACACACAATTTCTTGGTTATTTCCGTAGGGATAAGTGTAGAAAACGGGGACAAATCGAACGATAGTATGAATTTGTTGGATACGTTTTTTATTTCCTAGCTTCTGAGCAAATTAGGGACTGTGTTGCAGACGGTGTCTTGACAGTTTTGCGCGAATCTGTTCTAACTGTTCCACTAACAGTTGAGTGATTTTATTTAGAGGTGAGTTAACCATAGATAGGTCTAATTGGAGCATTAGTTTAATTAGGTCTCTTCAGAAAACCACACAAGGATGTGAATGTAATCGGAAGTGCATTTACATTGAATTTTAAATATGTTTTCATGTTAAGTTGTATAATTACTAAATAAGTCGAGACAATCTGTAAATGATTGCGTATTAATTTGTTTATTGTATATATCTTAGAGTGAGACAGTACCATTTACTGGATGGCGTTTTGAAGACAATTTATTGTACGTAATGATATCAGTTGTACCTACACAGCTTCAAAACTTGATTTATTTTTTTATACTTCTCGTCCTTCTTTCGCATAGGTACGAAAATCATAAGAAGAAATCTAGTTTCGAAGTTGTGTAGGTACAAGTGATATGATTATGTGCAATAAATTGTGTTCTAAACGTCATCCAGTAGATGGTATGGAATTGCATACTACCACAGTGCCTAAGTGTTACACATAAAACAATAGTTAAGTGTTTTAAAGTTGTTTGTGTTCTGTCTGCCGTGGTAAGTGGTATTCTATGGTGAGTAATATCGTAAGTGAAGTGGATGAGGTTATGGAAGCAGATCGATTGAGATGGCTATGTCAGGTGATACTCGTGCCGAGTGACAGCCTTCCTTGTCGTGCAGTGTTAACCGATATCCAGTTGGTTTGAAAAAGAGTAAGGGATGGTGAAACCGAAACCAGGTATCAGTTCATGAAACCTTTGACAGTTGGTTTGAGCTCCATAGGACAGTGTAGACTGCCTGGTTAAGATACCCCGGATATGGGGAACCAGTGGCTTGAGAGTGTCAGTGATATGGCTTAGAACTGTCCTCACTGGTGCAGATATATTCATCCTTTGTAACCTTTCAGGTCGACTGAAACTTCATGTTTTCCCATGTTACTTTTGTTTCTCCCACACATTTCCGTCCATTACAGTCCGTTTGAATTGTTTCTTCTTCCTCCTGCATGCATTTTAAGGGCAACATACTTTTGTCAATCCTTAAAGTTTGTAAGGTCATTTGTGGTGAATACTGGCATCAGTCCGCCTAGTTGAATATTGTGTTGTATTTTGTAATTGGATTGGTGCATTGTATCGTTTTGTTTTGTGTGCGTGTAGGTCGAGAATTTGGTCAATGACGCTGTGTTTGGTATTGGTGTCCTAGGCCGTGCCTTTTCGAAAGCTGCTCGACTAGAAGTTGCGTTGTGTGAGATTGCAACTCTTTTCAATCTATTCAATAGTAAAAAGCCTGATAAACAACCCGAGTCCGAGGTAAGTGAAACATGTTTATCACTGCATATCTCATGTAATTTTCACATGTATCTCTTACATTGTCCGTTGGTCTGTCCACAAAATGTTACATGACGACAATGAAACACGTAAATTCCAAACTTGTATTCCATGTTAGTGTGTGCTCTCTGTTAGGACGGACTAACTAACTTTGTCAACTGTAAAATCGTGATTGATGCAATCAATTAGATATTGATTATTTATACTTCACATTTCTGTTGATGTGTAATGAATATATACTCTGCATTTGTGGAGAATAAAAGTCGTCTCTGTTAGTCTGACATTTGTGTCTACGTCAGTGTGTGGAATGTCGCCAAGTGATCAGTTGGATGTAGACATTGTCGTGATTGGAGTTAGACAACGACCGTCAACAAATGACGAACACTGTTTTACAAAACTTTCATACATGCTGAAAGGTTTAAGTGAGAAGTAATTAAAGAATGTACTGAAATTTCATTCATGTTGTGGCATTTTCTAGCACACAATCTGTTGGTTGAGGGAATAGGGATTTTAATAGATATTTGGTGATATTTTCAGTATTGTTAGAAGTTTAGACGGTTTGTTTTCTTCCATGTTGCTTCCAGAGAGTTCCAATGTCTTCGTATTTATCCCGATCACTGCTATGATTTGTACCTTCGTGCTTTAGGTGTAGACTGTCGAACTTGAATTGTGATCTGTCTTCAGATTCTTTGAAGGATTTCCACTTTGTGTTCATGGTTCCCTGGACCATCTAGTGATATAAAGCTACATCTTTTTCAATCTTATCCACAGTAGGTTGCATTTCCGCGATTTCGGTATTTAGATAAAGTCTATTCGATTTTCAATATGTCTGTGTGGTGGAACTCAGATCACCTTGCATTCATAGTACCTATTATAATTTGAAGTCGCCATCTGGCTGCGTTCTATTCCATTACTGCTTTTAGTTGTCTGTCGAAGGCCTGAGTGTCCACTGGGTCAACGTTGTTTGTAGATGTGTAGCATTGTGTAATTGTATTTCTTCCTTCCTTTTGAGTTGAATCCTGCTGTCGTTGACTCTGCAGTGAACAGTCTTTAGAGTTCACTCCCGTTCCATAGGCTGTCACAGATTCCTAGCACTTTTATGCCATATTCTATCATTTCTCTTGCAATCTGAGCAGCTTTGCCGGCCTCAAATATGCCTGAGACATTCCATATCGCTATGCTCACTTTTACTTTCACGGAAAGAAAACGCATACGCCCACGGGCTCGACGAAGACTTATGCCTGTCCGTGTCATCTGTCTCCTCACATTCCAGCAGAGATTAATTTTATTTTCTGTGTGCTTAGATGTTTCATTAGTGATGTGGTTTTCCTATACGAGGTGTGTATGTTGCTAGTCACATGCTCAGCCTCCCTTACTTTTTGGGAGTAGGATAATCTAGTAAATCAGGCATAGTTAAAAAACTATAAGTAAGACATGATTTCCGGAGAATTTGTGAGACGTTCGAATTTCCTGGGATTTCGCTTTTGTGTGTAATATTATTTTATTTTAACGATGATAACACCTTTCAGATAATCTTTGAAATTTCGTAATTATCTGCAATGAATACTCGTATCTCTCCACCTAAGTTAATATTGTGTTGTAATGATGTAATTTGATTGGTGCATTGCACCATTTTGTTTTATCTGCATGTAGGCTTGGAGACCTCTCGAAAAAGTTTTGCTTGTCGCTAGGTTATATGTTTTAGGCAGTTCAATCTTCTCCAGTGTGAAAACAGGATTTGGTTCTCGCGTGAAATCAGCGTGAGCATAATATGCTTATTGATATTTTTCAAGAACTCATTCACAATCGACGGTAAGTGGAAAGTGTTTATTACTGCAAATCTCATGTAATTTTCACATGTATCTTTCACATTGTCCGTTGGTCTGTCCACAATGTGTTACATGACGACAATGAAACACGTAAATTTCAAACTTGTATTTCGTTTACTAATAAAACGGTGTACTAAAATTTCATGTATGTTTGAGCGTTCTTCAGTACTCAGTCTGTTGGTGGAGAGAGTAGGATTTTCAGCAAACATTTCGTCAAGTTTCTACGAATAATAAAGCTTTATACAGTTTTGTTTTGTCCGCTCCTCTGGTACTCAATTCATCAGACTTGTATGGGGAAGTATAAGTTACAAAGGTGATTCACTACTGTAATCCATCAGAAAGTATGTTGTTTTCCAGTCACGGCGATATATAGTTATTTCTGCAGAGTTCATCTATCCTTTAGAGAATAGTGTGGATTCGAGTGATTATTGGTCGAGTCCAACATAAAAGCGGGATAGTTTTATTGACATGTGCTAATATGAGTCCTGATGATAAGTCTTGTTTTAACTGATGGTGGTGTTTATCAAGGCATTCGTTTTGTCCGCTTGATATGCATAGATTTTTGCTGAAGAGTTAATGAAGAATTTTTGGAGTAAAGTTGGTCTCTGGTTCGTGTTTGTGGGAAATACAAGAACTACCGAGATGTTGTTGCTTCTGAGATGCTTATCAAATATTATGCTTCAATTTTGAATTATATTGTATTTATTGATTGAGATAATCGATCTGTGTTGGGATATAGGCCCATAAACAAAAAGCACAAAAATTCAAGTGATCCTGTTAGTAGATCGCTTGTTGGTGGATATTTCTACCGAGTAGATATAATTAGTCATGTAAATTCATATGTGAAAATCACGACAATTGTCTTGGAGGTAATTTTTGAACAGAGGTAGAACAAAGATTGGTGGAAAATAATATACGCCCATTTTGTTTCGTTGATTCTCGTCATCTGCGTGCAACCTATAGTATTCTGGTAGAACCAGTTATAACACAATGTACCATATATTTTTTCACTATCATGATGAATCAGTGTTCCAGGAAGGATTGTTGTAAGAAAGTCACGGTGGAACCTGCATGTGTTCGGTTATCAGTAGCCCTCTGATGATTTCATCGTTGTGTGTACATTTTTCCGCATGGAACGCAGAGCTTCGAGCTGGAGCTTTCCAGTTTCGGTAGCTGTGGCTTTACTTTTACAGGGTGGGGTTGTTGGCCTCACGTCCAACCGTCCCTCTTTACCAGCTTTACTACTAGATTAGCGAGGTTTAGGAGTGCGTAGGCGTGGAATCGAACCCCGAATCACATGCGTGGTTGGCGAGCATTCTACCACTGAACCACCGACACACTATAGTACCTACAGGATGAGTTAATTTATTATGTTCAAGTGGCAGTTGAATCTTGAGGGAGAACTGAAAGTCTGTAAATTTTGACCAACTCTATCAAGCGACTATGTATTGTACTCCCTACTGTAGTCCTGTTTGACTCATACTTACAGGATTTCACTGTTGAGTTATGTGACAGCAGAACATTACCCATTGGACCAAACATACTGTTTTGGACTTCATAAACTGACAGTTTGATGGGAATAAAAGTCAAATATTGCTCGAAGTCGTATAATTGGGATATCTTTTCAAAATGTTGGATGTATTCTTGAACCTCCTGCTAGTGTGTTCAGCTTACCAAATGCTCAAGTCTTCATTTTCACCAATTGTTTGCCGTTCGTGTTAGTGATTTTTCTCACTGACATTATGAGACTGTGATTTGCAGCAGCAACTGCTTGCAGTCAAAAGGGATAACTTCCGTGGTCTAAGAGATCGTCTCCGAAATATGAATTCGGAGACGGAGTGTTTCTGCTTTAAAAGTATTTAAAGACTGTCACATCACATGCAGATTACAGTTTTCATCTAAAATACGTCATAAATGATTTTTTATTTTTGTTGTGGTGTCGTCGCCAATATTACGGTGTGACCGAGTGTAAATATGCGCTAATGAGATACAACGGACGATAACGTACAGACTGGTATTGCTTACTGGTTGATTTGTCCTGACGCGAAGAGGAAAATCAGAAGACCACCACGTTCACGAAGATACGTGTATTTTCCAACAAGGGAAATTAACTGTCACAAGAGTTTGAGTGAAACAGTACAGAAGAGTACGAAAGAGTGTGAAAGTGTGTATTAACTGTACAATACAAGAGCTTATATGAAAATAACTAACATGCATTAATCAATAAGACAGACAGTAGCTTTTCTTACCACCTCTGGATTCCTATTGATTGTAATGTCCTGTGACAAAAGGTCATGCATTGTTTATTTAGTTAATAGACAGACAAAACATATTGAAGAGAAATTATTGATAAGAATATTCTTCGTTCAGATTGACTTTTAATTTTCCACACTATCAAAACATATTGTGAATTATAATGGAATAACGATCAATATACACATAGTAAAATAAATCAGACTGTCAAAACAAAGCGGACATCATGAGACTACATACCAACTTTACACAACCCGCTGAACAAATTTCACAAACTGTGAATGAAATGAAAGTTTAAGTTATACTACTACTCGTACCGCACGAAGTAGTTAAATTAAAATCTTCGTTGTTTTTACATATTTCTAAGGATGTAGAATAAGTAAATGATTATTGTTTTTATTACTGATCCCAGTCCTTTTACCGTTATTATTTCCATCAGAATTGTATTCACTGACAATATTATTGTCATTAGTATGAACGTTATCACCACTAATATTTATGATTGTTTAGTTTTCTGGCTCATGTGTAATTGTAGATTTATTATTGCAGCACGCTGACTGATTCATTGGACATTGGAGAAGAAAAAATGAATGACATTATTGCTCTAGCGTACATTTAACAAAACTATTTTCTCATTGAACATTTTTTAAATCAACATATCTGTTATAAAAGTTCTTCATGATTGTAATAAACCATTTTGATTAAAGCCATTAAAGTCGAATGTAATTTTCTGAGTGAAATAAATTTGTGGGGATGGTGTATTGATGGGCGAGGATGATACCATGTTGCTGTAGTATGCGTGTATAGTCCTCCAAGTGCATATGCACTTATGTGGCTTCGACCAGAGAGCAGTAAGTAAGTCTCGTCAGATGAACAATTGTGTCGTACAGAATACGAAATATATGTTGTATCCCTCCAAAGGAGCGTGATTACACATTCTGTAGTAGGCATCATCCGTTTGCATGAAAGACCTTCAAATTTCTCGAATATTTTCCTTACTACAATCCGTTTGGTTGACTGTTTAGTGTTATACACTCGCAGTCCTACACTATTTCTGCGTAAATATTTATCTGAATTTAAGCGGTATCATTAGGCGATTCATATTCTTACGGTATTTTCGACCCAACCAGAGGACATAATGACAGTAATACGGGAGTGGGGTGGGATATCTATGAGAATATTGATTAGTTTTTCATGAGGCATCTACCAGGAAAATGTGGATTGGTTCCAACAACCCCAACTACCAGGAGCGAAACGTTTTCAAGACAGTGGTGCAGATGGATTTCAGTTACTTACTTTCTAACTTGTGAGGTGGGTTGAGATCTTTTCGGGACAATATTGCCATCTAAGTAACTCTTCCTTATTTGTGACCCAAATGCAACCTGTCGGTGGACACATGAAGCGCTGATACACCAGATCTTCTTTCTTCGCCTATAGAAATTTGGTCTTCGATAAAATGAGAAAGTTCACTCAAATGATAATAAGGTACTTCCAGTGGACTTCTCATATGGGAAATCTGTATTGTGCGGGTGATGTTCAGATATAGGACTACGATCAAATGAACGCGACAATCTCTTCGAATCGAACATCCATCTTCATCCGAGAAAGTCTGTGTGTTATACCACAGAAACCAGAGATTGAAAACTCTATCGTCTCAACAGTGAAGTTGCACGACATTGCAGGGATATCGCTCCATGGGTAACAGACATTACTACTTAATAGATAAGAGGAGCTGGTGTAGCTATGCACAGTGACGGAACGGTTCTGACAATTAGAACTGTAATCAGGGACATACAAGAGTCAACAATAGTCAGGTTCATAGATTATATAGTACATACTACAAAACTGATTTGTTGGGATAATAACGGACTACGAGGTGACGACATTAATATCACTAATAATAGAACCAATGAAAATTGAAGCATGTACAAATTCTGATGAATAAGTAGGTTACGACAGTTTAACTCCACTTGGTTTTACTCAACATAATGTCAACCACTCCACGAATTGTATAGATCGAACAGAGAGACTCATAAGAAGGCTACTGAAGTATTCTTATGAAGGAAGAAAATGAGGATTATAGTCGTAAAGTGGTCTCGGAGTTTTGCTTTCTACAGTTGTGTTTACAAACGTAGAAGTTGGATTTAGTTGTCTTTTTTGGAGAAACCCACGAGGAACTTGTATTTCTGCAGCTTTTAAAAACCGTCCTTTCTATTAATCAATAGTTTCACGGGTATTATTATTAATACTCATTCCTTGTGTCCCCAATGGGATATAGTGCTCCAGCAGCGTATTTCCATTTTATTCTTTCCAGTTCGGCGACACGACTGCCCATAAGCTTCCAAATCATCTCAGTGTCACAACCGGACACTTGACTCGCCGACTGCAGTTCAGGTCGCACTTGAGAGCCTGACGTTTAGTGTCATTTGAGTGTCCTGTCAGCGTCCGTTCAATCTATCTCCATTTCCTTCTACAAATTAATCGGCCTAAAAGTTCTTGGTAGGTACTCCGCACGTTAGAGTTCCTTGTTGCTTCCCCTTTCTGGCTGGCCATCCCACCTTGAGTATCTAGCGGAGGTAGCTGTTGACGGAAGCCTGTAGCAGTCTCCTGTAAATGCTTCTGGTAAGGATTGAAACAAGTCTATGCATCATATATTAGCACTGATTGGCATTAGTGTTGAGT